CCCACCCTCCTCGACTTTGGAAGGACACACTTAATGTGCACAAAAAAAATGACACACTTATAAAAACAGAAAAAAGCTGAGTGCATTTCTCTCACAGAATAATAAAGTAACAACACAAATATCTGTTTGTGTCTCTTCTCCCACTGCACTTTATGTACTCATAAAAATCTCTGTGTATTTTACTGTATATAATAACATTTGTATATCTTATATAATTTTGCCTTTTTTGTACACAATTTTTCTTTTTTTTAGTTTTATTTTTCGAATATGTCTCTAAATCTCTTTTTCTTCCTGTCCCTCATGTGGCTGAGTTTCCCCAGTGTGGGATTAATAACATCCAAAATTATTACTATAGTGCTGTATGATCACTGTTAAAATCTCCAATATGAACATCAAATAAACATCGACAGAAGGATTAAAAAATAATAATAATAATAATTTTTTATGTAATGCAATACTTAATTATAAAACAGCAAGTTTTGGGATCTTATTATTATTATAATTATTACTCTTTACTTTAGAGAAAGTTTGATCTTACTAGAAGTAAGAATTATTGGTAGTAGTATATAGAATTGTTTATATATCTTTCCAATTATGGTTTGATTATTTCTTGGTTTCATAAAAAACTGGGGGCCAAGGACTCCTTAGAAAGGGAGAAAAGAACCATATCAGAGTTTTCACTGGTCCACAGACAGTAAGAATGAGAAGAGCAGACATCATAACTTGGCATGGCTGTTTAACAACTCATTAAAGCAAATAACTAATCAGCTAATTTAATAGCAGCGACTGCATTCAAGCTCTTAGAGATGGTCAAGATGATCGGATCAACTTTTTACAACCAAGAGATGCAGAGAGCTTCTCTGAACTCACAACACATTGAACCCTGAAGCAGATGGGCTACAGCACCAGAAGACCACACCAGCTATCACTCTGGGAAGAAAAGAAAACTCTGAATATGGACAGAGGCTGCAAAATTGGTCGATAGAAGTTTGAAAAAGTCTTGTCTGGTTTGATTTCTGCTGTAACATTCATGCTACGTTGTGTCAATGGTTCAGGCAGGTGATATAATGGTATGGTAGATATTTTCTGGACACACTTTGGGCTTCTTATTGACCCCTGTGTAAATGACAAAGCCTGTGTGAGTATTGTTGCTAACCATGTCCATCCGTTTATGACAATAGTTTACCCATCTCCTTCTTCCAGCAGAATAATGCACCATGTCATAGATCTCAAATATGCCTCAAAGTGGTTTCTTGAATATGACAGTGAGTTCACTGTACTCAGATGGCTTCCATAGTCACCTGATCTCAGTCCATTAGAGCATTGGGATGTGCTGAAATGGGAGATTCTCTTCATGTATGTGCAGTTAATACACTGCAGCACCTGTGTGACACCAATATGGACAAAATCTATAAAGAATGTTTGCAGCGCCTTCCTGAATCTATGACACAAAGAATGAATGCAGTTCTGAGGAAAAGTTGGTCCAAACTGGTACCAGCAAAGTGTACCTAATAAATTGTCTAATGAGATACATTTGTTCTTGTCAGATCGAGAGTTGTCCCTGCGTCTCTGCTGAGACATGAAGAGATGTATACATATAAATACGACTAAAACACTGAAACAGACTTCAGTTCACTTCTGCTTAGTTTCAATAAAATACGAGTACTATCATGGAGGAGCGAGGGGACATCACTGAGCATGAGGACTGAGTTACAGGAAAGAGTAAACAAAGTTTTAGCACTGTGCTCACAGCTTTGACCCATCCACCCGTCAGTTATGCACTCTTTCTGATAACATTTCCCCTTTTGAATTCAAATAAATAAAAAACTTTAACTATCACAGTTAACCAAAATACAATTTTTTCAAGGTTAAATTTTGTGTTGGACTGCATGCAGCAAATATTACTTTGTATTATTCATTTAAATATTCTCCCAAAAGATAATGCTGTGAACGGGGGAATCCTTCAACTACACACACACATGCTTTCCTGACATACATTAATAAGTTTACTTTGCTTGGAAATGAAGAACATATGTTTTTTAATAGCTTTTAAAAAACATTGTTAACTGTTGAGTCACTGTTGATTGTAGTGGTTATTTTTTAGTCCTGTAACTTTCAATCAAGTAACAATACAGGAAACAATGACATTACTTCAGCAGTAGAAGGAGGGAGTCCCCTAAACCAGCAGTCCCCAACCCCTGAGCCACGGTACCGGCCCGTGAGTCGTTTGGTACCGGGCTGCAAAAGTTTTCAGGGTTTTTATTGTTATCTTTTAAAAATATTTTTATCGTTAACTCGGTTTTCCTGGGTCTTTTCTCATGTGTTATGAATAAATCCTTTTTTTTTTTGGTACCGGTACTGGTTTTATTTTGTTGTATTTATCCGTGACATCTTAAAGGCCGGCTTGTGAAAATATTGTCAGACATAAACCGGTCTGTGGCGCAAAAAAGGTCGGGGACCGCTGTCCTAAACTCGAGGAGACCACGCAGGGAACTACACAGGTTGCCGAAGGGAAATAACGCCAACAAACCAGCTACTAACAGAGGCCAACACAAGGCTTAAATACACAGAGGGATAACGAGGGAATGAGACACAGAAGGAGAACACAGCTGGGAGTAATTGACAAGATGAGACAGGGGAAGCAAAACTCAATACATTTACATACACAGACTTTCAAAGTAAAACAGGAAACATAACAGATGCGGACTTGACTAGGAGGGAACAGCAACCCAGCAAAAACAGAAACCAAAAGACTAGAAAAGATAAAACAGTCAAAGTATAATAATGATACAAAAACACTGGGTCACTGACCCAGGACCGTGACAGAGAGAGAGATGGTGCAAAACAAACTCTTAACTTTCAAGAAATATGCAAAAGAGTCATATACATATGTGTTTTCATATGTATGTGATTATTTTCTAATTGGTGTTTATTTGCGATTTGGCGCTGTATAAATAAAGTTGAATTAAACTGAACTGAATTTTCAACAGAAAATGAGAGTCCAACCAAGTAACACGTTTTCTTCTGTTGTCCATTTTTGGTTGTGCGAACTGTATCCTCGCTGATTAGATATTTACATTAAAAACCCATTCAACAGGTGTTCCTAATGAAGTCCCCAATGACTATATATTTTTATATTTCTATGAGCATATTTGGACTAAGAGATGCAGAAAAGTAGAAAGTGAAAATTCTACCCTATCTGGTCTGATATGGAGCCACTATGCTTGAAATGCTTACAGTAAATAAATGTATGTATTCAGTAGGTAAGGTTTTTTATATATAGGGTACATACTATGTAGCTGTGTCTGTTTCACTGAATACCACTCTACATGTTTACCATTATGTTCGATAAAGGTTGAGTGTTTGCTTTACTCACCTCTTAGCGTGACCTGGAAAATATTGGACACACTTGCTGTCAGGGAGCGACAGGTATTGGGTGGTATCTAGGAAACAAAAATTCCTATAATCATATTTCATTTTTCAAAATAGACCACTAATTGTTTTTGAGGTGCTGTGCATGGCAACAAGAGATGACTATCCAGGTTGTTGGAGCTGTAGACCACTGTGTTTGTGTCTCCATTTTGCACATTTTCCATTTAAACCAAATGGTTCCAGTCTGTATACACTTGCTGGCCACTTTGTTAGGCACGCCTGTCAAGTAATGCAAGTATGGTCAAGATGATCTGAACACTTGTTACAATCAAGAGATGCAGAGAGCTTCTCTGAAGTAACAACACATTGGATCTTGAAACAGATGGGCTACAGCTACATGTCAATCCCTTTATGACCACAGTAAAAACAGACCACAGTTTAGCAATTCATAAAGTTCAATAAAAAATAAATTTCATTTCTGAAAAGTCCAATAAATTTCCAGGTACAAACACAGGTAAAAATTGAATGATCCTGGTGAAATATAATGGTTTTTGGACATCATGCAAAATATCAATTTGAAAAATATTGGGCATTTCAAAAGTAACAAAGTGGTCAACTCACAGGTCACAATACTGTAGGAGTCACTATAACAAGGCTGTAAATTATTTCATAAGATGTTAGGTGGAAGGAACGGAGTATCCTCATTTAAGACAGAATAATCACTGCATAAAATAAAATCTGAGTTCTTTTGTTTTAAGGATCTTTAGGGTCAGTTTA